AAAATAGATGAAAATGTGCGGTTTGTCAATCGTTCTTCTATGGATAATGAGGATGTCGCGAGTATACTCGCTAAACTATAAAGTTATAAAGGGATAACGCGTGCGCGCGCAAATCAGTTTCACACCGGTTTTAACACCAATTTCGAGGATGCGAATGGAGCCCATAGAGCGCAACACTTGATCGTTGGAAACGATATATCGCAATGCTTTGAAGAGATGCTCCTTGTACGGACTGCTCAGTTCGGCGCATTCCATCTCGAATCCCAGAAGATAAGATTTGTAGGTATCCTTCCGCACTGTTGACCATTTTTGAATTATCCAGATGGCGATGCACAAGATGATTAACGCGATTATTCCATAACTTGCAAGGACATCACGTACCCATAAATCGTTATTGCTCATTTTATCTGAATAGGTGAAAATTTTAATTAATTAAAACAATAATAACAATAGAGAACGCGAGTAGCTATTAATATTCCACTCTTTCAAATACATATACGACATATACGACAAATAATTTTCGCAAGAGTATGCCTGCCAGTACGAGCAAAAACACAACTTTCTTTCTTTTTTCTATATTTACTATTGATTCATCTTTTTCTCACAAAAATAAATAACGACTGTCTATGTCTTATTACAGTTACCTTTATTATTTTTAATATGATCGATATACGTAATAAAATAGTTTTCAAATTTATTTAAGTTAATTACAAAAATTACATACATATTAATATATGTATCCAAATAAAAAGTCATAAGTTTAAGGATTTTTGTAATTTTATATTTTGAGTACTTGGTTTTTATGTTTGGTATTTATGTTATATATAATTTTTTTTTTAAATTAATGTATATAACGATTGCAAGGCGTCCTGCTTATGATTACTTTAATACCTTGTATAGTAACTAGTATCTTGTAGACTTCTCCTTATGTAAAAGCGTTATTATTCTGACTGTTCACTTAATATTGAGCGGTGCAAATATATGTCACCGTATCTCATTCAGAGCTGGATCTACGTTTTCGAGAGCCTTACAATTAATATTTCTCGAATCTTACGTTTAATGAAAATATAATTTACAAATATATAAACAATATATAAACAATGTTCGTTCATTCATATTATTAATAAAACCAACATAGAAGAAAGCATTATTTTATGCTTCTACGAATATATAAACATAAAAAACATTAAGCATAATTTTAATTTTAAAATCTATATCGTTTAACATTTATTATCGTTCAACTATAATTTATATAATTGATATAAATTTTAAAATAGAAAAATATATTTAAAATATTGGTTAATAATTCGATATATTTACGTGTCAAAAGTCTTTTAGTACATGCACGTCATAATGTAGTACTGGAACTTAAATTCTAATTATCGGTAAATCCGTCACTGTTTACGATAAGATAAGGATTGAAATTTTGTTTTTTTTCTCGATATATGAGTCGATATGAGTTTCATTTATGTTTATATGCAACAACAGTAAATAATTTTTTATAATCTATGCATTTTATGATGAGAAAATTTTGTGTATTCTTTTTGTATTCTTTTGTTAAAATTACTGTTGAAAATGCTGTATTAATGTTTCAACAATCAGATCTGCACTCAATTTTCTCATTTATAAAATGCATTTAAATCATCAATCAACATTCAAAATTGTTATAATTCATTTACATTATGAGAAAAATGTGCAAGATTTTGCTTAAATATTAAAGAACATAGTACAAAGTATTAAGTATTAAAAACGCATAAGTTTAATTCATTTTATTTTATAATGTTCATACACAATTTTTGTAAATAATGTTCATACACAAAACACGAAAGCCATCGGAAAGAGAGAGAGAGAGAGAGAGAGAGAGAGAGAGAGAGAGA